ATATAATACTGGATATTGAAGAATTCTAGAGGTTTTAACCTTTGTTACAATTTACATCATCCTAAAGCTAGGGTGAACATCCTTAATTCAGGACTTGAAGCCTATTCATATGATTCTAAGAAAGGAAAACATATACATAGATAGAAAATAAATCAATATCAAGGGCAAGATGGACCCATGTACTTAACTATTTGCAGAGATATTGTCTGTATGGTCTGCTCGTTCTTTGAAATTGGGCCTTCTAAGTTCAATAGCTTCTCCCTCTCAATAGGATTATTACATTGTACATTAAAAAAACAACAATATCAATAGGTTGCTCCTTGACTAATAGTGCTTACAAACACTCTAGTTCTTATCTCACTAGCACAAAGATCACACAAAGTAGTGTGTAACTCTGTGATACGTATGTTTCAATATCAATCCCCTTTCTCTCACTAAAAAGTGAGGTTTGTATAGATATCACGGGTTGATAATAATATAAGCTTGTGATGTATATTCATTTGTTGACCATTCATCTTTATGATCAAGTTCAATCATGATAATTATATACCTTTGTTTAAATTTGAATGCTCCCATAGGTGACCTCATTGGTAATCATATACCTAATCAATGCTATCTCATCTGATGTGTGAATTTGAACTCGTAATCAACAGGATTCAGCAAGATATTTCGTGAGAAAATTAAGAGATTATGTTATTTCTTAGCAGTCGTTGGTCAAGCTGTTGCATGTTGTATTGATATATCTTCATGTTTCTTTTGTCGCTTCCTGATGATGAGTCATTTGGTCATGAAATTTGGAGAGATGATAGAGAACTTAGAGATGAACATAATGGTCCAAGTCTTACTTCAAATAGGAAAATTACATCAACAGATCAAACGATTGTAGGTACATCCATTTCCACCACATAGGATTATAGATCAATGGGTAATGATAATCTTGTGGAGGATACTACGATACACATCTCTACAAAATTTGGCCTCAAAACTCTCTTTATGTTTAGAGATACTTTCACCATTAGTTAAGCTTTGGCACAGTTCGTATGACTACTGTTGTAGAGCTTGCTAATTCCTACATAGGAGCAACATGATGCCACACATTTTAAGAGTTATAGGGCATTGAGCCAGAAATCTAATGGTCCTAGTCTTATAAGAAAATCCCTCATAATTTGAGAAAAATCTCAATTTTGGTGGCCGAGGGTCATCCTGGCTATTATCTAACAAACAACGCCCAAGGCTTTTGATTGCCAATAGATACGTATGATGGGTTAAGCCATCTCCGAATGATATGAAGCTTCAGGATGAGAAAAATAATACCTCAACTATGAATCCCTGAAAGTTTTGGATCAATCCCAAACATAAAATTTGGAGGCGTCGGCCAAAGCATATTTTGGCCGCCAATAAATATGAACAATGAGTTAAGCCATCTCTGAATGATGTCTAATTTGTATAATTCTTGGACTAGAGACATGTGAGGCCTCATTATACATGTTTATAAGGATACAACTTATCGTGATATCATATGGTGAGGTTTCCTTAAGCTATACCTGCCAAACACTTTAACCTTAGCCGATGACAGATTCAAAAAGACTTATAGCACCTCAACAAACTCCTCCAATAGCATATAAAAAGGTATATACGGGCCATGGGAGTATATGTATTCCAGAGTTTGTCTCCAATTGAGATGGTTTGATAGTCTTTTATGATCAATCGCTAGTCACGATGCACATATGTGACCAATGATGAATTAGGAAGTCTATCATTCTACATCAGATTCCTCCGTTATCATATGGAATGAGGAATATGTCAACCATACAAGTATATGTATCCTCAAATTTGCCTCACAATGAGATGATTTGATATCTTCTATCATCAATCATTAGTCAAAATGAACAATACTTGGCCGATGTCAGGTTGAAAAGAATGTCGTACCACATCAAATTCCTCCAGTATCATATGGAGAGATATGTATAATTCTTAGGAGTATACATATCATAGAATATGTCTCGAACTAAGATGGTTTGATGCCTCCCACTATCATTGGTCGTAAGTCAAGACATATATGGATTGACTGATAAGCAGGACTCTAAAGGCATATTTGGGCCTTCATATAATAAGTTCGGGACATATCATATTCTTCATATCACATTAAGGATATATCTTTGCAAATAACTTCGAGAATCATGCTCATTAAGCTTGCATATCTTATCTATTGTCTGTTAAGATACTAATGTGGCGTCAGTTAAATACTTGTCTCATAATTATGTCTTCAAGTCATCGATCGTCTGTCAAAATGTTTATTGTCTCATATGATGACTAAAAATGCACCCAATACAATCCAGTGTTTATTTGATTATAAAACTTGGACCAAAGGATTGAAAATAACATCACGAATTTTCGACACCATTTTTCACTGTTTTTTCATAAGTTCATCAAAATCCGCCAATCTACCAATTTTCAGCCGGATTTGGATCAATTATGTTAAAATTTTGGGTTTTGTAGAAAATTGTATTTTTGGAGCTTATTTGTCTGATTAAATGAGGATTATAGGTCGATTTTGCAAGAAACTGTGTTCCCGAAAAGCTTTACCGTGATCGGATTTTGGATCAAAATAGATCGATTTAAATCAAATTGAGGTATGTATTTTGATCCTCTTTACTTCAATTTGCAGATGCATCTATACCATGAT